ACTAATATTCTGAAAAATTCAAATTTGTCCACGTTTATTTTAATTAATTTTTTTGGAAAATAACCCAGTGATTCTTCTGCCCCAATAATTTTGAGCATCCAGTGCAAATTTTCTTATATTTTCTAGAATTGCCCCTTACGTAGTCAAAGGCATTAGCTTCTCTGCCGCCGCTTTATTCCTATCTCTTTCAAATTTCTCTCACATAACCCATATCATTTCCTCTTTCAAAAGTATGAACAATCCCTTTCACTAAATTCCAAAACTCATATTACTATAAACAATCAGTGTCCGCATCTTCGATGGGAATTTTCACTATCAAAATTTAGAAGAATTAGTTGTTATTTTCTTATCTAATTTATTTCCTAATTTAATCGAGTTAGTTTCTCTTAATTTCAAATTAAAGATAGAATAGTTTTGTTTACGGGTTAATTGTTGACTCTCATCCATCAATACCTTTTCCTTATTTTTTTGTGGAGGAGAAAGTTTTTCTTTTCTTTTTAAGATCGGATGGATAGTTATAAATTTGGTGATTGAAATGTGATAGATATGTTGAATGCATCCAAAGTATTTGATTTTTTTTTCCCTGAGAATAATCTAATCAAGTAACCCAATCAAATACTGCCATTGTTGTATCATCATTGTTAATAAGCATGAAAATCAAGTAACCAAGTCCAAACCAGATTTTAGGTCCAAGGATATATATAATCGGATGGATAGTTATAAATTTGGTGATTGAAATGTGATAGATATGTTCAATGCATTCAAAGTGTTTGATTTTTTTCCCTAAAAGTAATCTAATTAAGTAACCCAGTCAAATACTGCCATTTTTGTATTATTGTTGTTAATAAGCATAAAATTATCAACCAAGTCCAAACCGAATTTCAGGTCCAAGGATATAAAATTTGAGAGAATTTGAAGAAAGAATAGTCATAGCTTTAGAATTTGAGTCGGAATATTGTCATATTTTGGTGCTTCTTCTCAATGTTCATACATCAATCTATTTTGGAGACAACAATTACATTGAGGCAACAACTTTGTGGTGTAATTAATCATTTGTTTTCAGCCATTCATCTTTTTTAGTTCACAAATACTCATTTAAAAGAGATGATTGGAAGCACATACCGTGAGTTTTATTCATATTCACCAGGTTTAAGTAAAGCACAAATAACATTGATGGAAGCAATGCTTACTCATTCTGGTCACTTAAATGACTGTCGAAAATAAAATAAAACACATAGTTGGGTGTTAGTAAATTGATGTTTCTAGATATGCAATATCTCTTCCAACCTACCCATTTGTATCACTATGGTGATGTATTATCATCTGCCGGTTTTTGTTTCTTTATTAATCAAAAGCTCTGAGTGATGGGATTTTTGCAGGTAAATTTTCTGAAGTGCTTGCCGCTCGGCAATTTGTTTTCTGGGAATCCACATTGTGATTAACTTTCTGAATATATCATATTTTCAGTTGCATTTGGTTTCTTTACTCCTGGAGCTATGCATACAATCTTCTTTTTTTCAATAATGGATCATGAATTGTCAAAAGCACTAAGTTTGAGAACCCATTCAGCTTTCAACGTTGTCTTTCAGTTGAAATCTCCATTGGTGAGTAAGTTGTTTCTTTTATGTTGTGGACTCTGGTTTGTAGCATTCGACTGCTGAACGTAATTGATGAATTTTTTTCTGTACCTCAGCTGCATGTTTCGAAACCCTGGCGTTCTTTAATCTCAAGCTCCAACTTCATCAAAACCCACTTCCGAACTGCCTGTGGAAGTGATGGTTTGGGTCATAAAACCATCATCTTTAAATTATCACTAAATTCCCCTGGCCGTTTCTCCGATGTGAAGCACTGTTCTCTCAGTTCTCTTGTGGACCCAGCCCCCGGTGAAGCTTTCACCAGTGCCGACCTATATATCTTACACTGATTATCCAATGAAAGGTACAGGTAAGTTGGTTAGGATGGTGGATTCTTGCAATGGATTTGTTTGTATTTCTGTTGACAATGGAAAAGATTTGATTCTGTGGAACCCTTGTATCAAGAAGTTTAAGAAATTTCTTGATAGCTATATAAACTATCAGCGTTTTCGTTATGATTTATTGGGGTTTGGTTATGATGAATTGAATGATGATTACAAGGCCGTCAGGTTATGTGTTCATGTTCCCAGTGTACGTTATGTTACTGAAGTTAAGAGTGTACAGTTTAAAGAATGATTCTCGGTGTCCAGTTGGATTAGATAAGGATGTTCACCGGTCTGGATTTTACTCTGGACAATATGCAAATGGAAATCTCCATTGGGTTATGACCATACCTGGTATTAGAAGTTGGACATTTCTCAGCTTTGATTTGGCCAGTGTGACATTCGGGGAAATCGAGTGGCCAAGTTCCAAAGAGGGTCTAGGTGATTGGTCAGTCGGAACTTTACGAAGCTGCCTTTGAGTTCTTTATGATTATGAGAGAAGTTATGTAGATTTGTGGATTATGAAGGAGCATGGAGTGAAAGACTCGTGGACGAAACTCGTTTCCGTTACTTATATTGATCTTCCTGAACATTGTACATCCTCTTTGCCTATTTGCATGTTAAGCAATGGTGATATATTGTTGCAAGTCGGTTAAATGTTGGTACTTTACGGTGCAAAGAGTAAGACATTCAGGTGGTATCCCCGAATAAACAACGTCATCGAAGTGACTATATTCACTGGGAGTTTGTTATCACCTGATTTCCACGATGAAGAGCAGAGGCAGGCCACTCCAGTTAACCAATTAGAGTAGGCAGTGCTGATGATTCTCTCTAGTTTTTGCATTTTGTTTCACAATCTTCTAGTAGTATTGTATGGCATGTTTCTAGTAGGTTTGGAGACATCTCTGATGACAAGAATGTTGATGTTCTCTACTTCTTTTGCATATGACAGTTAGTTCTTATGTTGTTGCATTTCGGATGTAATTAGTGTTTTATATCAGATAATGAACTTGCCAAGTGCTGAGATTAGCAGTGCATTAAGGAAGTAATCGTGACTCGAGTCATGGATGAATTCTAGTTCCTGCGCTTTTCATATCTTTCCCAGTAGGTTTGCTCACGCTAAGCCTTTACGATGGGGAAAAAGTTGTCATTTGCATCTCGTTGATGATCAATGACAGTACTCAGTAGCTTTGTGATGCCTTCTGAGTAGTGACTGGAGATCTTGTGTATATCTCATTCATTTTGATGCCGTCCTGAGTCCGTCCAAGAGACTAGGGAGCTCTAAAGCCAAAGACAAGAGAATCATAAGATTGAAACCTTTTTTCTAAATTTCTCGACCTCCTGCAATGCGGTGATAGAGCATTTTCTTACAGCATAGCGCCTTGTTGGTAAATTAGTGCTTCATAAGATTATGATGAGCATATTAGGTGCCTTCGTGATGGTTCTGGTTGTGCGAAACGGCAGAGCATTCAAGAACTCTTAAAAAGATGTGTCACGTATGAATGAAACCTGTAGAATTACAAAAAGTTCGAAAACTGACAAAAATATGTTAATTTTGAAAGTTCTTAAAAGTTTTGGAGCAGATCCTATCCAAATGGTGAAAAACTGCTTCCAAATAACGAGCTCGGACCATTTAGTTCACTGATCAGACTAAAAGGCGGAGGTTATTCCATACAAGCATACATTCTTAGAAGCTAATGTAGAGATTCGAACAGAATGCAGCTAGTTCTATGTAGGTCAATTTGTTCAACCACCTATTATCTACAGAACAACGAATAAATCTGACAACGGATATACGGAAGACAGATACTATTACTCTATCCGTTTGGAAAAAATGACGGTACAATTTTTTTTTATAAGTTACCTTGTCCTAGAACTAAATTTGGTCAAAAACAAAATTATCCTTAAACTCCGTTTGGTTAGATTGAATTGAGATTGAATTAGAATTACAATATAATAGAATTGAAAATGAGATATTAAGATTGTATTTCAATTTTAATTCCTTTATTTGGAAGATCATAAGAATTAACTAGAATTAAGGTTCCAATACAAATTCTTGTGTTTGGATGTATAAAAATTTATATACCGTAGAATTAACTTGTTATTATACAACTAATATAATTTGCACTACTTTTGACCATAAAAAGAATCATCTAATTTTTCATATAAAAGTTGTACATCGTAATTATGTAAATATAGGAGTAAAAAATGAATAAATTTTATCCGTATATGTTACTCAGCATGTCTCAAGAAAATAGTTTATATTAGTTTTTAAGATTTGTACCATTTTTAACATAAATTTTAAAAATAAATGTGGAATATTTTTCTAGGACGGACGGAGTAGTAAATTTATTGAACAAAAATATTAAAATATCCCAATCAATAAAAACAATTACACAAAAGGGTGGGGAAAAAAGAAAAATAAATTAGAGGAATAAGAGAAAGTTTCAATTAAAGAAGAAAAAGAAAACACAACAGGGTGGGATAAAATGCAATTGTGTGTGAAGATATTTTCCAAAAAAAATAAAAAGTAAAAATAAAAATAGGAGGAAACAATAACGTGGGGAAGGGATGGAGGAGTAAGTCCTTCACTCTCTGTGATGCGTGTGTTTTACACGCGCTGCGTGAATAGCTTTTTTTTTATAATCTTTGTTAATGTTGACCCGTTTTCTTTATAACCCGATTTTGACCCACGGACGACCCGCGAAATTTTACTAAAACAATAGAATCTTAATTGCAATTATTTATTTTTACAAAAGAATTAAAAATAATTTGAGTCATATCTTGAATTTTAATTCCAATTCCGAAAGTTCTATTTTTGTCAGTCAAACACAAAAATTAGAATTGTAGGCCTCCAATTCTTATTCTTTTGTCCAATTCAATCCAACCAGACAGAGCCTTAACAAAATTATCCTTACCAGTAACCACATTCTTGTCCGAATCAAAATCTTCTTGTAGCCACTTGCCAAACAAATGCATGGCAACAAGTTAACAACTAAAAATCTTTGTCGATGATCAATCAAATTTGAAGCCGGAAGGGAGAATGAAAATAGACGGCACCCCTCTAATGAGCAGGAAAAGAAGAGAACCGGGTACTTCAAATGCGATGGCCCACATATGGCACGGGACTGCCCCTACCAGGAAAAGATCAACGCTATCGTTGCAGGGGAAACTGGGAGACCTTGGGGATGCCGCACGAGCGGCTCCGGGAGCTGTCGGGAGAGTCCGTGACAAGTGGTATCAGAGTTATCGTGCGAGAGAGCTGTGTGCCTCCGCTGGGAAAAGCTCGAGTGCATCACCTGGAGGATGGGTACGCATGACTTGGGAAATGGGTACGTGCGGAGCGCAGAGGCGCCGTGCCGAGGAAAATGAGCTGAACGTGCATTGTCGTCAGAGGAGTGGTGACCCGCCTGGAGGAGAGGTGGATGCTTGGCGCAGAGGCGCTAGAGGGCACAGTTGATGGCATGCGAGCTTGGGGCGAGTCATTTTTATACCCACCTAGCACGAGGGCGTGTTAGAATTTAAGTGGGGGAGGTCTGTTACCGGGGTAATTAGGATATCCGGGGACCAGTTTGCGTACCTACTGAGTTTGCTACCTGGTAGGTCAGAGGGACGGGTTAGCGTCAAGGAAAGGTTATCGGCTTAGCGGCTGGTCCCTGCGAGAGGACTCAAGGAACCCGTAGCACCTTGCGGGGATGGTCATGTGGGACTAGCACGCGGATAAGCACACAACTGGTCGGGGGCTAATGCCGCTCCCCTGATGAGCCCAGAGCAGGGCGAAACCAGTAGGCTATGCGGCTGTAAGCTGATCCTGCAGGGGAAACTGGCTGACCCTGGGGATGCCGCACGGGCGGCAGCGGGAGCTGTCGGACGATCCCGTGACAAGTGGTATCAGAGCTATCGTGCGAGAGAGTTGTGTGCCTCCATTGGGAAAAGCTCAAGTGCATCACCTAGAGGATGGGTGTGCATGACCTGGGAAATGGGTGTGTGCGGAGCGCAGAGGCGCCGTGCCGAGGAAAATGAAATAAATCTCAGGTATTGAAATAAAAAGTAAGGTTATATATATCTAGACTTCTCAGGTATTAGTGGTTGGAAATATAGTGAATATATTTTAATTTTTTGTGTGACATAAATCAGCTTAAGGAAGTTTGGACTTTGGAGCAACTCATCCTAAATCCTTGAAAATTTGTAATGCCAAATCCAAAATTAATAGTATTGAATTTGTAATCATAATGATGACATAATCCAAATCTTTTTATTTTTAAATGCAAAATCAAATTTTGCTTGAAATGTGACCAAAATTTTGAATTTTACTGCCAAGCCTCCAAAAGCCAAAAAATGACTGATTCCATAGCTAGGACTACTAATTCGGACGATTCGGGCGATTCAGGTGTTATTCGGTTCGGGTTATTCGGTTTTTAACTCTTAGAAGAACCACTCGAAATCAAACCGCAACTCCTGTTAAACTGAGCCGAACCGAAAACCGAATCGGTTCGGTCCCCGCGTCAACCGAATTAAATAGTCAACGCAAAAAGTAAAATTTTGCAGTTTCTTATAATTTGGAAAATACAAATCATTCATTCCTAATTCCTCAACCTTAAAAATGAAATCAGTAACTGTAAGACACTAAGGTCTTGTTTGTCCAACCCAAATTTTGCATTTTCGTCTCATTTTACATCTTAAAAACACCTCTCAGACACAAATTCCAATACTATCAAAACAACTTTTTAATTTACCTTTTAAAAAATATTTCAAAAATTATTTTTACACAATTTTCGTCCACAACCACCGAACCACCTCCGCCGCTGCCGGACCGCCCTCCGCCGCCGGCCGGTGATCAGCCGGCCGGATTCCGGGCAAATTCCGGCAAACTCGCCAGAATCCGACCGGCCGGTCGCCGGTGGTGGAGGTAGTCTGGTGGTGCTCTAAAAATATTATTATTTTATTTAAAATATTACCCAAACAAGTTTTTAAATTTTATCTCAAAACATATTTTAAATCACATTTCAAACCCAAATCAAAAACTAAAACAAAAACAAAAACAAAAACAAAATGTTGGCCAAACAAGCCCTAAGACTTTAATAGAAACACCATTCAAAGAAAGATCAATATATATATATATATGAGATCTGATCACAAATGGAGAAATTCAAACTTCAAAGTCCATACTCCATAGTCGAATAGTCCACAATACGACAACAATGTCAACATAACAAATAAAAGAGTTCCACAAGTCCACTGAACGATAATTCAGAAATCAAAAGCTTCACAAAAGCAAATTCAGAAATCAAAAGTGCAAAACAGAAGTACAAAACAACAGAAATTTAAACTTCAGTCTTCTGTCTTCATTCTTCAACTTGGCACTTGCCACTTCATAGATAGCAGCTTACTTCGGTCTTCAAATCAGCAGACAACAGTTCAACTTCAGTCTTCAAGTTTACAAATTCAAAAATGAAGCAATAGACCAATAGTGCATTAGTGTTGATCTTTCAATCAAAAACCTGATTGTAACAGTCCTTAAAAGAAATAAACGAACCCAAAACCTAAGCTAATCTACCTATCATTGAAGTTCCAACTGCAACTCTAATCACGACAAATCCATATCTCCCGGGAGTCTTTCCCTTTTCAGCAGGTGAAAAAAACAAACATGCAACCGTTATATAAAATTAATAAGAAACTGAAAATACAAAAATTGAAATCACAAATGAATTCAAAATAATTGTTACCTTCTTCAATTCGTAGAAGATCTTCCCAATTTTCTTCAATTTTTCTGAATCAATAGCTTCCTGAAGCCAATCTTGAGCACAAATCAAGCCTTGAACAGTCTTTGGAGTTAAAGAACTTCTAAAAGCATCTAATTCCCTCCCACTCATATTGAAAATAGATTCAGAAGCAATCGTAGATACATGGATTGCTAAAATATCACGCACCATCAAAGAAAGGATAGAAAATCTTGGGATGTTAACCTCCCACCAGTTTAGAATTTCAAATGTTGGACCACCTATTTCATTTGCCTCATTCAAATATTTATTCAATCCTGATATTGCACTAATATTTCTTCCACTTGCCTTTAAACTTTTCTTCTTCAATAATTCTGTCTTAATTCTATCTCTAAGCATCTTGGAAGGTTCAATATCAATTGGGGAAGCTCTTTTCTTTTCTTTTCTTTTTTTAGCTGTGAATATATTTCTATCACTCCAATCTCCTGTTTTGAACATTTACATTTCTGCCTATTCCATCATCTATTACATCCATATTTCCAATGTCTTTTGATACAAACAGTTACTGTAACAAAAACATTCTGATGTTCTATGTTTATGACTATAACAGTAATTCATTATAACTTTGACAACCTCTTTCATTTGCTGTATAATCTCTTCTTCTGTCCTACTTTTAGCTTAAAAAATTCTTTGATTTCTTTCTTCCCAAATGGCCTATATACATGCCATTATCACAGCATAAAGTAGTTTCTTCTTAATCTGAGTCTTCTTCCAAATATGCTTGAGCTCTGCTTTCCATTTGCTATCTCTGACATTCAGGCTGCGAAGTCCCAACCAAGTTTTAACTCTATTAATTACTCCCTCTGAAAACCAGCACTCAAAGAACAAATGGCTTGCAGTCTCCTTTTCCTGCTGACATAAATAGCAACTATCATCTGCCACCCTAACATTGTGCCTTATAAGTCGATCTTTTGTCCACAATTTTCCCTGCCAGAATAGCCATCCAATAAATGAATGCTTAGGCACATTCACTCGAGACCAGATCCATCTACTCTCTGTAACCTTTGGTTTGGTCCCAATAAACCATTCATATCCTTCAGCAACATTATATTTCCCTGACTGGTTCTGTTTCCATCGAGTTCCATCAAATCTTTCCTTAGCTTTGTCTCAAATTTTCAGTAATCTTTTCCATTGCCAGCTACTATCTTTCTTGGCTTGTGCATTGCAAAGCTCTTTTCCCTAGTGTAGTTGATACAGAAGAACCAGAATCATGATCATGAGAAGAAGCTGAACTAGAACTACCATCAGATCCATAGATTCTAACATAATCCTTGTACAATTCTTGCAAAGAAGTTTCAACAAAATTCTTTTTCTACCCCCATCAACTATCACATACACGTCACATAAAACAACTTCCAAGTAATCCAATTTTTTTATTGGATCTAAAACACATGGCATATACAGAACTACATTCATCTTTCGAATGTCACCATAGTACTTATCAAACTTGATATTTTGTTGATCAACATCTAGAGACTCATTAATAGTCTTATTCAACAAAACATCAGCAGACCAGCCAACCTCTTTGCTTCCATCTAATCATTTGCAGTAGGCAGTTTAGGGCCTGAATTTGGCACCTCAGGGTCAGGTGTCAGAGTATCTCTATAATGCAACTCGCTGGATTCATACCTCTTGAATGCTCTTTCGTATGCCTGAGCAGTTTCCAGCATCAAATAGGTGGAATTCCACCTGGTACAAACATCTAAAACCAGATTCTTAGAGCTCTTACACTTTTCAATTACAGCACATTTTCAAAACTTGGCAATTCTTTGAGGAGGCTGCCTAATGTATTTGACTGCAGCTCTAATCCTCTCAATAGCTTTACCAATATGACTCAAAACAATCTTTAACAAAAAGATTCATCACATGAGCCACCATGCAACCATTTTGCACCCAAAAGAGTTTTTTCACGGTGCGCAAACTCTTCTTGCAAATACTCCACAGCACTACCATTGGCACTAGCATTGCCAACAGAGATAGTAAACACATTTTCAATTTCCCATTCATGCAAACAGTCCTCAATTGCTTTCCCAATATCTAAACTCTTATGACTTGAAATAAGGTAGAAACTTAATATATTTTTTTTTTCAAGTTCCAATTGTTATCCACATAATGGGCAGTGAGACACATGTAGTTAATTTGTTGCAAAGAAGTCCAAGTGTCTGTTGTCAGGCATATGCTACTCACATTTCCTTTAATATGAAACTTAAGTTTTTTCTTCTCTGCTAAGTATAACTTATAACAATCATCAGCAATAGTTTCTCTGCACTTTGGAACATGCAACGGCTACAACTTACGCAGGAAATACCTAACGCCTTTTTTCTGAACAAATATAAATGGAAGCTCATCAACTATGATCATATAAATGAGTGCACTGGTTATTTCCTCTTCATTATACTTCCAACTGCCTACACTCACTGGTTTTCCATCATTACCTTCCTCAATTACTAACTTACTCTTACCAGGATCATGATTTAAAGCCAAATAACCAATAAATGCCCACGGAGATTACTCATTCCATGTTTTCTACTTCCAGCCCTATACTTACTACCACAGTACTTACAGACAACCTAAATTTCACCTTCATCATCTTTAAAAGTAGAAAAGTGAGGCCATACCAAAGATCTTTTGCGAGTTATCCTTCGAGGTTTTGGTAGTTTTGTAGGCTTACAAGCAGCTTGACCTTCACCTTCTGGTCCTGTTTTCTCTTCATCCTTCATTTCGATCTCAACACATCAATCATTTGTCCATTCTCAGGTATACTGCTTAGAGTCGGAGGAGGAGGTGAGAAATTCTCAAACTCGTCCATCTCCTCAATTTCAACAGCAACATCATCAATCTGAGCCATCTAAAAAAAGGAAAAACACAATATTAGTTTTACTTTATAGTTCAACGTTAGTTTACATTTCATAGTTCTTTATTTTTTTTTTTTTGAGAGAGAGAGAGGTGCTATAACTTGTATGAACATTTTGTTTGTTTTGTTTTGTTATTATTCTTCAATACCGGACTATCACAACAGTGTCGGACTTCCACCCATCATGAACAACCACTGGCTGATGAACTTAGCAAGAAGTCGGCGGTCGATCGTTCCAGTGGCATCCAACGGTGGTAGATGCAGCCCAACGGTGCTGAGGAGGTGATAGCATTCCGATGATGGTTATTAAAATAATTAAAAAGAGTAAAATAAATTTCAAAAAAGTAAATAAAAATGTTGTATGAAAGGTATTGATTTATGTTTACATGATAAATTATTATTATTATTTTTTGAGCAATGATAGATATAGTCACAAAATATAGTGAATTTGAACAGTGACTAATGAAAAAATATTAAACCACACTTATTATATAACTGTATTTATTAATTAAGGGTAAAAAAAAAATTTAACAGGCACGATAAAATTTTAACTGGAGAGTTGCAAAAAGTTAGGAGGCAACAATTAGTCCACATCCTTCACTATCTTTTGTTACTATTTTTTTTTTCAATATACATTTTCCTTGTTTTCCCTCCAACAAGCTTTTTTTTTCCCTCCAACAAGCTGGCTACATAGGCATACATCATTTGAGAATGAAAGGGTGGCCTTACTGCCAAAACAACTTTTAGGAACCAAAGCAAATTTCGTATTGTCTACCTAATATACCCCTGATAAGGTCAATCAACTACCTGTGATTCTGTTCTATTTCCATTTTCTCTTTCTCTCTATTCACGCCGGAATCTAGAATTCTGAATTTTATTTTTTCTCCTTTACAAACATGCCTTCAGAAAAAAAATTTCTCACTTTTTCTTGAAATAATCGGGTCAACTTTCTTAGAACATATCATCAAGTATTCCCCCTCAAATCCTCTACTTTGAGGAAATTAATAGATTTAAAAAAGATGCAAGTAAAAGAGGCCAATTTTTCTCAAATTTCTCTGTTAGGAATAACACAGTTGCTTTAAAAACAGAAGAAAAAGAGATTAAGTCAATCTCCGCTTCGTTTGCCCTCCCCGGCGATACTTCCTCATCCACTTCACCTTCGCCTTTATTACACTTCCTACACCAACGGTGATGGATGATACATGGTTGTTGCTTTACCATCATCCTCAAATCCTTGCTCTTCGTGCTCCCACCTCTTCTCCTCCAATCCACCACTAACACCTCCGTTAGTAGCTGATTCCTCACTCTCAGCAGTCAAAGAACTTCTACTGTTCCAAATGATTTAATCAGCACCACCCACCAGTCTCATCCAATTATTGTCTCTTCTTCACCCCACGTATCATCAAAATCACAATAAAAATAGTTATTATCCCTTTCCAACTCAAATCTGCCCCCTAGCATTTGAAATTTTTTTTCTTTTGGATAGTGGGTTGATAACAGATCGAACGGTGAGTGTCGAACAGAAATCTGGAGGAACGATAAATGAAGAAAGAGAGTTGAATTTTCAAGGTAGTTGGGTGTATATTAGGTAAACAACATCAAATTTGTTTTGATCCCTAACAGTGACTAATGAAAAAACATTTACACCACACTTATTATATATTTGTATTTATTAATTAAGCGTAAAAAAATAATTTAACGGGCACGATAAAAATTCAACCGAAGTGGCAAAAAGTTAGGAGGCCATAATTAGTCCACATTATTCACTATCTTTTGTTACTATAATGATGGATGTAGTGACTAATTATAGTGAAAATGTATAGCGACTAATGAAAAGACAAGTACACCATAGTTCCTAAATATATTACATGTTAATTAAGGATAAAAATATAATTTTATGAGAAAGATATAATTTCACCGGTTAAGGGTATGTTTGTTTGGTTTTTTTTAGTGTGTGTTTTTAGTTTTTTTTTTATATTGGAAATATAAAAAGATATATTGAAAATGTAAAAAAATATGATGTGATGAAACAAATATTATTATATTATTCTGAACAAATCATGAGAAAAAGGAAACAAATAGAGTCTAAGTAACTAAAAAATGGGGACCATAATAACTCTACATCAGTCACTATTTTTTCTTACTATATATATCATATATATATCTTTTTTCAATATACATGTCATTTTCCTTGTTTTCCCTCCAGCAATCTTTTTTTTTTTCCTTCCAACTAGCTGGCTATGTAGACATCCATCGTTCGAGAATGAAATGGGTTTTAGCTTACTGTAGGGCCTAGGAGTCAATATGTGGTGAATGGTAGGGGTTTTCCAAGGTAAGAAATCCCCAGCGTTAAAAAAGAAAATCTTACCACGATCCAACTTTCCCGGACCAATCAATCAAAATTCACCACACAGGTCCCACACCCAAATTCCGGATTCCCGCCTCACCCAATTTTCAAATATCTTTCAAAACCCGCTTATTTTTAATTTCTCAAAATCTTTTCCCACTAAAAAAGGCAACCCAATAAAATCCCACGCCCCCCGCGTTCCACACACACAGTCACACAGTGTCCTTTTCTCTTCCGCCACTCTACTCTCATCACAAAACCCCCTCCTCTTCTGCCCTAAAACCTCCACCAGATCTGGAAAAATTGAAGGAATATCTTTAGAAAACTTTCACCCACACACACAGTGGTAGAGAAAATGGCGAATAAACGAAAGCAGCCGGCGAAGTCGGCTTCGAAGTCAGCGTCCAAGGCGAAATCCGACAAGTCCTCTCCCTCTGAACCTGCTCCGAAGAAGACTAAGCGTCAAATAGAAACTGAGGCCAAGAAACTTAAACCGGGGGTTAAGGATACAGATTTCGTGGAGGAGGAAGAGAAGCCTGGGAAGAAGAAGAAGGTTGAGAAGGTTGAGGAGAGTGATGTAGCGGAGGAGCCGGAGGGTGAGATGGCGGAACAAGAGGAGGAGGATGAAGTCGCCGGAGCCGATAACGGAGACGTTCATTTGATGCCGGCACAGAGGAAGGCTAAACACCGGGAAGTGAAAGATGAGGAGGAGGAGGTCATTTGTCGGTTTTTGGAAGCCCCTGTTCCTGAGAGTGAGGCTCGCCTTAAGTGGCCTTATCGGTTCGCTATTAAAGAAAAGGTTCGTTCTTTTAGCCGTTTCATCGTTAAAATGTTGTATTTTTTCTTCTTCATCGTAATATTTACTCAATCTAAGCACGTCAAATGCCTGGGACTGTCTTCCTTTTCATTCTTTCTGGTCACATTATGGGTTCGAGATAATTTCCCACAACTCGGCGCCATAAATATATAATGCTGAGCAATCTTTCGGAAATGGGGTTCTTTTTGAATATTTCTGTTACTTAAGGAAAATGAATTCTTTTCAAATTAAATATGTACTGGGTCTCGATATGTGTGATACTTCTAATACATATACTTGGAGATAATGATGTCTGGTTTCAAGATATAAAATTAGCTTGAGTGTATGCTGCTTGTTTAGTTATTTGTTTGACCTTAAAATTGTTTGAGTGTCGTTTTGTTGTTATATTTCATTGACCTTGATTTGAAATGCAATTAAAATCAAGCTGGGGAAACATGATACAGAAATGATGGAAGCATAAAACGACCTAAGATTCATCTAGGGAATCCTTACATTTCTTTTACTGCTGTAAACACCATTCTATCATGTAGTCATTGAATTCCGTGATCACAACTAAAATTTGGTATTTACAACTCATGATCCATTAACAACAGATTTGTTTATGCTGTATTAATGTTATTCACCGGGTTGTTATTTTTTTAGCAAATGACTCTATGCTGCATTGGTAGCCACATAAATTGGCTATAAATTCAGAGTATCATTACTAGTTAAAATTATTTCGCTGCAAATTTTAATGGTTTTGTAAAATTGAAGTAATTAAAGTCAAATTAAGAGTTTAATTCAGTCTGTGCAGCATTTTATAAATTTTATTATGATAATGTCAAATTTTAAATGTTCTGTTCTGGACTTAGAATTTTTCATTGCCTTATGGCAATCAGGAGCTAAGTCTATGCTTTGGCTTGATATAGAAGTATATATACCCCCATCTTTTACTGTTCTTTCTTCAGCCTATATCATCACTGATATTGGGTGATGGCTTAGAAATAAGTCTTGATCTGATAATCTTTTCATTTGTCATTTCTCAGAGGAAGCTGAAAAGTAATGGTGCATCTAAGAGTTCAAATGAGTAAGTTTACTTTGCTCATCATCAAATGGCTATGTTCTCTTCTAGCAGACATGTTTGTTTGGAATCTTAGGTGTAGTTGCTAGTTAGGCCAGTCTGACCTGATTTTTTTTGCCTCTGATTCTCTTCCTTTTTCTTTGTGGGGCTAAGGGAGGATGAAAGTGACTCACTTATTGAAGCAAGATGCCATTTTCGAAAGGCTGAAGTTGATGGCTACACTTATAATTTGGAAGATGATGCATACGTCCAGGTAGGTCTGATCTTTGATTTATTTTTAACTTGTGTCGCCTTTGATTCTTTCGTACGAAAACAGAGGTAGATTCAGTGTTTCAATGAACAATGCTTTCTTTTTGCTTTGGAAATATTGAAAATTTATATTGAAATTATTTCAAAAATAGAGAGCTGTGTATTGAAAATAAAGCCCCATTTTCTCTAATTTTGTTTTTCCAACCTTTAAAGGTATTTTTTCCCGTTTAGTTTTGGTGATTGATTCTAAGTTTTCACTTGCTATACATTTTGGTGCGCCTCTACCTTTTTTCTAATGGTTTACTGGTAATTATAGCTATAAAATATTTGTGCAACTCTTCATGTAAACCTCAACATTCTCATTTCTGCGGCTCTTATGTTAGTTCGTTTTCATCTATAGTTTCTCAACATTTTGAATTTTCTGTTTAGTAGTAAATTTTTATCACAAGGCTTAGAATATGCAGAATTTTTGAGGCTCTACTATTTTGAACTATCTGTAACATGACCTGTGTTCATGACCATCCAAACTGATCAATTGTTACATTTTTGGGTCTTGGCCTTCCACAAAGTTAACTTGTTTCTTTTCTTTTGTTTTTTTTTTTCACTTTCAAATTTAAGCTTTACATCTTTATGGTTTAGTTCTTCTTACTTCCATTACCTGCATTATAGGCCGGAGAAGGACAAGCCAATTACATTGGTAAAATTGTGGAGATGTTTGAAGGAATAGATGGTGTACCTTATTTCAGAGCACAATGGTTTTATAGGGCTCGTGATACTGTAAGCACTTGTAAATTTGCAATCATGCTTTCCTGTTTACTGATGACCTTTGATAGAATTGCTGTTGTCTCTTTGCCAGGTTATACAAGAAGAGCACGAGTCACTTATTTATGAAAAGAGAGTTTTCTTTTCTGTAGTCCAAGATGATAATTTCCTTGATTGTCTTGTTAAACCACTTGTAATTGCCCGTCTGCAACCAAATGTAAGACCATCACCCTCAAAAGGATTGTTTCTCAGAACTGTTTTCTCTTTTACTTGTGTAAGCAAACACAACTGTTTTTTCAGGTTGATATAAAGCGAAAGGAAGAAGAAATGAATTTCGACTACTACTATGATATGATGTACCACCTTCCTCACTGCTCGTTTGTGAGCCTCGAACAAGGTACTTTCATTTTAACATAATGATACTCGTACTGGATTTACTAAGATAATGGGGCATCATTAGCTTATATTCTTCCATGCGTATGAAACCTACACATAAATTTATTTCACAAATCTATGTTTTTTTCTTAGTTCTTTAATTCATCTCCATTGCTGGATTTGTTAAGTAACTGAAACATTAATTTGAAATTAGATATTCCTGAGGGAGATGTGAGCGAAACTGGATCTACGATATCCAGTGATGTTGAGGGAGGTCTTGCTGCAGTTAGTGGTGCTGAGGGCAAGGAAGAAGAAAATACAGAGATGACTTTACTGGATATATATGCTGGCTGTGGGGCTATGTCTACAGGATTGACTCTAGGTGCCAACAGTGCTGGCGTGAAACTTGTTACTGTATGTACCATATTTCTTGCTTTTTTTAGTTTCTAAATTTCTTCCTGTATGTTCCTTCACTTTCAATGTGATCAAGGAGTTCTATCTTATGCATTCAGAAATGGGCTCTTGATTTAAACAAATACGCATGTGAGAGCTTGAAGTGGAATCATCCAGAGACCAAGGTTCATATCTATCCATCTAATTTTTGGGCCGTTATTCTTTATTTAATTATGTCTTTTTGAGCAACTTTCTGAATGAATTTTGTATAATACAGGTTTTTAACGGATTTGCTCATGATTACCTGAGTTTGCTGAAAGAGTGGCAGAAGCTGTGCGCTTCCTTCTCCTTAGTACAAGGCCCAGGACATGAACTTATAAACCTGGATAGTGAATCAGATTCAGGCGATGAAAATGAAGATGATCAAGATGATGAAGATGATTCTAATGATTCCGAAGTGTATGAGGTTGAAGAAATTTACGATATATGCTATGGAGACCCCAAAGAATGCGATAAAGTTGGGCTTTATTTTAAGGTATAACTTTGCAGTATTAATTGGGTTCCTTTGCTTGTCTACTTTTGGTTTTTCCCTTTGGATGGCTTCCTTTGAATTGATGTCCACCTTAATTGAATAAAAAAACAGCTGTCACCCTTGAAACATTAATCTGCTTTTGCATGTAGGTTATGACTCCCATTTTTGAAATAAGATATTACAGTATTACTCTATTACTGCAGTATGCGTAAGAAAGCTTATTACAGGAATCCTGCAATAAGTTTGTACTAACAGTGAAGGAAATGGATATTTCGTTCTTGTGGAGATTTTTAGTTCCATTTGTACATGTTTGGCTTTGTGCAGATTGGTAGTTTGGTTGGGATCTTAACAATTATTTACTGTCATCAGTTTTTGTTCTTATGCTACCAGCAGGTTTTTTTTTTCTTTTCTTTTTTGGGATATTATTCGTATAGATCCTTGTTATGCAACTCTGGATGTCATTTCACAGGAATCTGCCCCAGCATGCATCTTTAATATTATAAACTTATAATACATGATTGGTTTTCATAACTATGCATTTTTTTTAAAAACAAATATGTTGTTTATTTCTAATGTTGTTCACCTCTTAAATCACTTAGGTTAAATGGAAAGGATATGGGCCAACTTATGACACTTGGGAGCCAATAGATGGTCTAAGGTGAAGTAGATTTGATTACACATTCTTTATGATTCCTTCAGATTGTTTTTCTGTTTAATCAGCTGATTTTACTTTTTTTCTGCCTCCATCACAGCGGTTGTCAGCAGAAGATTAAAGATTTTGTAACAAATGGCCATGAAAACAAGATTTTGCCTCTGCCGGTACTCTCTTGAATTCAATCTTCATTTATAGTTAAACGTGGAAAAGAATGCTTACTCATATGTTTGAGTTGTCTTAGGGTATGGTTGATGTGATATGTGGAGGTCCACCATGCCAAGGAATAAGTGGATTCAATCGCTTCCGAGATAAACTCCAGCCACTGAAGGATGAAAAGAATAAGCAGCTTATTGTCTTCATGGACATTGTTCAGTTTCTGAAGCCAAGATTTGTTTTAATGGAAAATGTTGTCGATCTATTCAAATTTGCATCAGCGTATCTAGGAAGGTATGCCTTTGCCCGCTTGGTGGCAATGAATTATCAGGCTCGATTTGGTCTCATGGCGGCTGGAGCCTATGGATTGGCCCAGTTTCGAATGCGTGCTTTTTTATGGGCTTCTCTTCCATCAGAGGTGTTAGGACATGTCAACTTCTTGTTAATGGTTTTATTTATTTTTTACTTTTTCGTGTCCATTCCAATCTTGACTGGCATTTTTCTCATGTTGAACAGCGGTTACCTCAGTATCCATTGCCAACACATGATGTTGTTGTACGAGGGAATGTCCCTGTAGAGTTTGAGGTAGTATTGCTTTGTTGCATACTATCATTTTAATTGAAGTCTTTCAGTTGGCTTGGCATTTATTGATCTGGTACCTTTTCTGTTTCAATGCAGTCATGCTTTGTTGCGTATGAAGCAGGTCAAACACCAGAGTTGGAAGATAAACTTTTTCTTGAAGCTGTTATTTCTGATCTCCCCCCTGTAAGGATTGGTGTTTTATACATTTGTGTGACTGGTAAATATCTTGTTGAGATTCCCGCCCTCAAGTTTATATGCTATGAATAGGTTGAGAATGGAGAGAAACGTGATGAAAGGCCATACACAAATGAGCCTGATAGCGAATTTCAACAATTTATCAGATTGGGGAAGCATGGTAAGCTATGTTTTTATGTATGAACTTGAGTTTGAAGAACCTGGACATTTTTCTAATTAAAGTTATAAGAAGGAATTTCAGCCTGTTATTGGACTGCTTTGATGTTTAAATCCAATTTAGAAGTACTTACACATCTTGTCAATTTCTTAAGCTCGTAATCTGTTTACATGCTACCTGAAATCTCTTTAAGGGTCAGATTTCCAATAGAAGTATTCTTGGTGATACCTGAGCAAGTATTTGGGATGATACTTGAGCGCTGGAACCTACTTTGGACAGTTTTTATAAAATAAATTGGTTGTTCACTGTTTTATGTTTTGTTCTGATTTTAAATGCTACTCTGCACAGTTGCTGCAAAAAGTTGTTCTCACTTGACATTTTGGAGATTTCAATCTGCTGTTTGTGGAGATTTCAATTCTCACTTGACATTTTTGTATCATACTTGGTAATTATTAGATATAGAATTTAGAAAATGAAATCCATCAGCTACTTTGATTCAGGATGAAACCTGGTTGAGCATGGTGTAGATATTTGAATTAATGATGAAATCTTTTAGGGCTGTCATCATGATTGCTAACTTCCTTTTTATCCCTTAAACAAATGCAGAGATGCCTGGCAGCACTTCCTCAAAGCCAGAATTGTCTTCACCTTTGCTATATGACCACAGGCCTCTATGTCTTAATGAAGATGATTATGCCCGTGTCCGAAGGATTCCCAGGCGGAAGGTAATTTATGATTTTAGTATTGTCTTCGTTATTTATATCCCCTTCTTTTGACTTGTAACTTGTAAGCTCTTATTTAGTTTTCAAGCTTGATGGATTATTATCATTTTTGTGTGCCAGGGGGCGAATTTCAGAGACTTGCCAGGCCTGAAAATTGGTGCAGACAATAAGGTGGAGCTCGATCCTGAAGTTGAACGCGAATTACTTCCCTCTGGAAAGCCCCTGGTATGGATGGTGATTAGTCTAAATTCTTAGATCACTGCCATTTGAATACTTTTTCGTGAATGGTTACTTAATAACCTACAATTTATAGGTTCCTGATTATGCAATTTCTTTTGTGCGGGGAACGTCGACCAAGTAAGAACCTTTTTCTTGGCCTTTTCAATCTCAAAACTTTTGGGCTTTTTTCAAGTGTTATCTCTGAACTCACAAGTTGGATTTCTTTTAGGCCTTTTGGAAGGCTATGGTGGGATGAAACTGTTCCCACGGTTGTGGGTCGTGCAGAGCCTCACAACCAGGTGATTTTTGGCCTTTCTTTGTATAGCATTGTCATTTGATTCATACGACTTTAATTTTTAAATTACAGGGTGTTGCATTTTTATTGCAATTTTTACATTTGTGTGTTTCGGTTACATGTTGTGATGGGCCTCTGATGAGTTGGAATAGTGTCATTTTCCTTGGAGAATTGGGTAGTTTTGTGTAATTACTTTCATTTTTCTTTCACTAAATCACAGGGAAGTTTGGCTGTACAACAGTCTGAGAAATCTGAACAACTTTAGTAGAGATTATTATTGAGAAATCTTATTAAGTTGCAATTCTCATTTTTAATCTTCAGCTCAATGCATTTACCATTTTAGAAATTTATTCTGAATTGTGTGAAAGTCATCTGCATGTGAAGACTTGCATCTGGCGGTTAGCGGGTTAAATTCTCCATTTAGTGAAAACTGTTGTGATTTTCATTATAACCTTCTCTGCACTTAGATTACGAACTGATCGGTGAGAAGCAATAATATTGCTGGACATCTCTTAGGAAAGATTTTTGGTTACCACCTTGATGATTTTTAGGTCAGTAGACTTCTAAGTATTTTTGGTCAGTAGACTTCTAGGGGAGTTCTTGATGAATGATATATAATATGATAAAAGGAAAAATAGCGTAATGAAAGAATCATCCAAAGTTTTTTGATGTTATCAATTATAACAGGAGGAGAGGATTCTAGATGACTGCTTTGGTAACTGATGTCACTTCTTTTAGTCTTTTCATAGCTTTATTAGGGCAAGATATGTTACCGATAGAACAGGAGGAGAGTGATGCTAGGTGACAACTTTGGCAACTGATGTCACTTCTTTTAGTTGGTCTTTTCATAGCTTTATTAGGGCAAGATATGTTAACAATAGAACAGGAGGAGAGTGATTCTAGGTGACAACTTTTGTAACTGATGTCACTTCTTTTAGTTGGTTTCATAGCTTTATTAGAACAGGAGGAGAGTGATTCAAGGTTTAGTTGCAAGATTTGTATTTCATTGGAGTCTTTGCAGACCACCTAACATCTCATGTTAACATATATCCAAGGTTTTTCTAAAGCTTGCGTTGATGAACTCAGATGATTCTTATGTGAACTGATTTCTTTTCTACATTTTTCTAAACATTGATTGCCTTTGTTTTTATAGGTTATATTGCATCCGGAGCAAGACAGGGTGCTTACAATCCGTGAAAATGCTAGGCTGCAAGGCTTTCCTGATTACTACAAACTATCTGGACCGGTAAAAGAAAGGTTGGCTACTCAAGATCAACATCAAAATTTTCATTACTACTTCCTTTCTTTAAAATACTTCGCTTTTCAAAAATGAAGTCTTTCTTGCACTACTTGACAAAGATGGTGCTAAATTGTGTTGATATTTTCAGGTACATTCAAGTGGGAAATGCGGTTGCTGTTCCTGTTGCCCGAGCGTTAGGGCATTCCTTAGCATTGGCTCTCAAAGGAAACTCAGGAACCAAGCCAACATTTCGTTTGCCACAAGGATATCCTTTTCTGAATGAGGGCAATCTGGAAGTGCCGGAGTAGTGTGGTCTCTAGTATAGTGAATCGTTAACAATTTGAATTGAGAACCGTAAGGAATTTGAAATGCGGATGCGTTATGCTAATTGCTGTTAATTCGGGATTCATCCGGTCATTCATTCAATATATGATATGATGATCCCTTCTTTTCTCTCCATAATTTCCTCCTTTTCATTCTTCTAGTTTTTTTTGGCAGAGTAAGGGGCAATACTTGATACTATTCTCAAAGTGGAGCTAAAAGTACGAACATATGACATCAATGCATTTGACTACAACACTCTTTCCAGACATCGTCTTTTTCATATGACAAAATCATGGTGATAAAAGTGTTCAATGGTGATGCGATTTCACCAGTATTGGCTTCGTTCCAATTCAATAGTCGAAACTTCAATGTTATTAACCTCTTTTGGACAACTGGGTAAATAACTCATGACAAAAGTTGATCTTTATACACTCCAATCCTCTTGGGCGATCGATGACGGTAAATAACTCATGACTAAATGTTGATCTTACAGCGTTTAATAATGGTTTCTTATGAAACATCCACTTTATCATTCTTTCTCCATTCTCTGCCTCGAGATTTTTAAGTCCCAAGTGAAGAAGATGACCCTTTCTTTGTTCATGACTACCGACAATTTGATTGGACCAATAAAAATATAAAACTTCAAAGACAGATTTATCCAAATAAGTGAAATGGAGAAACTGAGGCAAAATTCAAATTGACTTCATCAATTATAAAGGTGATGATACAGATACCATACTAAGCTTCGGATTCCGTTTTCTTGATCGGAAAAGGGGGTAACCGGAGCACAGCTTCTTCAGTTTCCATGGGGTCTGATCTCAATATCTGAGAAGAAAAAAAAAGGCCACAGATTAGAGAGATTCAAAAAGTTTCAAATTCGAAACAATAAAAAGAAATCAGTACAGCTGAAACTGATCCATACCGGGTCTTTCAGAGATGGCTTGGTGTCGTCGAGAGCAGGTCTAAAATAGGGTTTCCGTATCTTCTCTTGTTTGAGCTCCGGCTTGTAAACTCCGCCGCCGGTGCCGTCATTGGCGTCCATTGGAATACTGGTTCCGGCAGCTCCCTTCTTCATACAGTTTCCCCTTCAATTTCCGATTTTCAATTACTCCGTCCTTCAGGAAATATTACAGCACTACCCTCACACGCAAACGTCGGACAACCTATTCTCGGGTTCTTGCCGTTTAGGCGTTTAGATATGAGTTTGCCTTTTCTGTCCGTTTAGATGTTTTTTTCAAGTGTGTATAATATTATTTCATAAAATAAAAAGAAATGCAAAATAAAAACGCAGATGGAATATAAAAAGGTAGAGAAGATATTAAATCACAAAATTACAAAAACAAACCAATAAGACACCCCTACACCAAAAGGAGGGGAAAAAAAAAGAAGAAGCCAATGACCTTTTTCTTTTCTTTAAATAATTGTTCAAAAAAAAAATAATCCACGTTAAATTTTCAGATTTTATTAACAATAATACATATTTGAAAATTCAAGGTGGAATTTTTTTTTTTTTTTAAAGACAAGAGAGAGAGAGTAATAAAAAAGTTAGAATGTATGGACTAATGTCTCTATTTTCATTTCCCATCCACTAATTATGACAACATTTCAAAAAGTCTTTGGACTAATTAGTTTAAATGTTACTCCACACATTATACATTGTTATTTATATTATTTTTAGCATGATTTGCAATTTACAATGTGGACTATTATTACGGGACAGACGGAGGAATATATTTCATTGGCATCATTACAAACTTTGTATATTTTAGGAATTAAGATAATCAATTGACATTTTTCATGACCCATATACAAATTTTGACATATTTTTCTCTAATACAAAATCATATGTCCTGTTTCAATAGTTCAAATTTTTATAGTTTTCTTGTAAATTACACTTTTGCCTTTAGGATCAAATGGTCTATTTTTTTATAAAAAAAAAAACTTTCCCCAAAATATACCTGTCGTTTTATAAATATTTTAAAACATAAATACCGAAAATTGAACCGAAAGGGGGGAGGGAAAAAGAAAAGACTGGCCATGTTCAAACACCGGGGGAAGAGCATCAGAGAGAGGAAAACTTCCTGATGATTTCCCGCCACATCCAAACCATTCTGAGGAAATCAACAACCATTGCTCATCTTCTGCAAATCCAATCTCTCATCATTAAAACAGCTCTAGATTACGAAGAACATCTCTTCTCCAAATTCATATTAGCTTCATGTTCTATTTCACTGCAATTTTCAAGGCAATCATTTGATAATTCGCCCATCCCTCCACCGCTCTTCGCATGGAACGAAATGATCAAAGCGTATTCTAAGAGCCATACACCATTGGAGTCCGTAAGAATTTTTTCGGACCTTCATAGAAACGGTGATCATAGACCCGATAAGTATACTTTTCCTTTTGTGGTCAAAGCTTGCGGCCGGTGCTTCCAGGTCGGAGTCGGTTTGAGTGTTCATTCGATGATGTTGAAGATGGGTTTTGATTGGGATTTGCATATATCTAATACTCTTGTCAGGATGTATGGATGGTTTGGTCTGATTGGGTTTTCAAGACAAGTGTTCGATGAAATGTGTGAAAGAAATGTGGTTTCTTGGAGCTCGATGATTGCTGCTTATGTTCATTGGTATGTTCTTTTCTTAATCAATAGGTCAAAATGATGCTAACACTGTTTCTTAGCTCCTTTTTGTTCTTCTTTGAAAGTTGTCTTTAGGAAGTATAGTGAGTGGGTATATGTTCTTTGTTTTCTTGAGCTTCCTAAAAACACTTCAGCAATTCATGATGTTGTTTTAATGTAACAGTTATTATTAAGTACATAATTCTGAAGGAGGAATTGGATTATGATCCGAAACTGTGAAAACAATTTGTATTGCTTCAGCTAACATCATGTCCACTATAAAGTTACAGGATGCAGTGTTTTATCATGCTAATTTTGCATTTGCATTAAACTGAACTTCTGACTAAAGTTACCCATCAGCCGCAATTATGAGGTTTTTATGGTTCATGTTTTAGGTAGAATAGTCTTAAAATAACTTCTGCATTCCTCTGCTTTCTTTATTATGTTCCATCAAATCGATCCGATATCCTAGAGAATAGTTCATGGGTTTTGCTGGTTGATCTAAATGAAAACTAACAGCAATGTATGTAACCATAAAAAAATTACTTTATCATTTACTTCTCAACCTTTACTTACAGTATGTGGTGACAATTCTCCGATGACTAATCTTCTGGGTTTTGTTTGGGAGCAGTAATTGTCCTACGAATGCTCTAATGGTTTTCCAAGACATGATCGCAGCAGAGGGAAAGCCAAATTCAGTCACTTTGGTTAGTGTTCTAGCTGCCTGTACAAGTATAATCAATTTGAAAGTAGGGGAATCCATTCATTCCTACATTATCACCAGTGGCATTGAATTTCATGTCGAACTAGAAACTGCTCTCCTGGAGATGTACTCAAAGTGCGGCTGCATGTTGGAAGCCTTCCGCATTTTTGACTCCATGCATTCAAGAAGTTTGCAATCTTGGACCATCATGATTGCATGCCTTGCAGATAATGGCCTTGGGAAAGAGGCTATGTTACTGTTTTCCGAAATGGAAAGAACTGGCCTGCAGCCTGACAGCAAGTCATTTTCTTCTATCCTTTGCACTTGTAGTCATCTGGGTCTTGTTGAAGAGGGCCAAATTTTTTTTGATAAAATGGTGACAGTATATAATATGAGGCCAACCATGGAACACTACGGATGCATGGTGGACTTGTTAGGACGTGCTGGAAAGATTGAAGAAGCTTATCAGATTGTAAAAAACATGCCCATTGAGCCTAACTCCATGATTTTGAGGAGCTTTATCAGTGCATGTTATAACCTTGGCTGCTTTATTTGTGAAGATAAACATCTGCAGCAGCTTATGCTCAAAATAGAGCCTGATCTTGGGGCAAATTATGTGCTTTCTGGCAGTGTGGACTCTTCATCTGGTTATTTGAGTCACAATAACCCTCAGGTTTATCATGAAAGAAAAAGGTGTGAACAAGACCCTGGGTAGCAGTTGGGTGAACCTGTGAAGTTCCTAGTTCTGGGGAATTTGGTTGGTAAATAATATTTTGGATCTAAACCGTTGCATATGAAAAATATGGCTGCTTTGTCTGTTAAGACAAAAAGCATATTTTGCTCAAAGTAGAGGATCTAGTGCGACAAGAATGTGCTTGCTGGTAGCCTGGAGCCCTGGACTATTCTTATTTGTCATTCCAGTCTCACTAGTGACATTGGGATCACCATGAGAGAAGATTTGTTGACCCCCCAAGTCTCTCTATAAATCCTAGGAAATTTGGCTGGGAAACTTGGCAGTCATGTCGAATGCAGCAGTCATGCGAATAGACCACTCAGTCAAAAAGGCTAAAGGTTTTTTTTTTTTTGTGCTCAAATGGCTGGAGAACATGGATTTTACGAGTCTAGGGACCTTGAATTATGCCAGAAAAAAGAGAGACTTGTGTAGGACTAAGTGCTATGATTGAGAAGAGATGGGCAGGGTGGTGCTAATGAACGCAGAGTATTTTCTAGCATGGGTAATATGAGCATAATTAGAGTTAGGTCCAGAGTTTTATCCAGATGGCATTATTTTATGATGCAATCTCAGCTCTTAGCGGAGTGCTCTGTACAGTTTTGGAAAGGCATGATTTTAGCTTGTACAGTTCGCGTCTAAATGATGAATGGAAGTTAGTCTGACATTGGCAAACTGATTAGAAAAATGCCTCCTTCGACATCCAGCAGCATTTTGTAATGACACTGCATTTCTGACATTTTCGCTCTTCCAAGGCCTGTGCTCCATTTTCCCGTTATACTTGGCCAGGTACAACATTATATCTCGGTTAGACTCACTGCTTCTTTTGAGCCTTTGCTAAGAAACCACTAGTAGATGCCACCCATTAAGTACACACAGGCTGCAGAGCTATGTCCTAACTCTGAACAGCTAGTAGTTATCATCTGACTGAAGAATATATCTGTGGTTTCATATACTAGAAAAGTGGAAGATGTTTAAATTTGATGCAAACTGTGAGTTGATTGTGTCATCTGAGTTGAGTCATGAAGATTGATTGTCTGTGAAATTTACTCTGCCAGTTGTCTCAGATTTTTTATTTTATTTTATTTTATTTTTTCTGTGTGTGTTTTTGTGTGCCACAATGAGGTCCGGATCAATTTCTACAGTTTGGATAACCACTTGGTTTGCGGCAATCATATGAGCTAAGTTGCCCCCTGGTTGCATTATTTTTCATTCAAAACAGTGTAACTGGAAATTCATCAAAGTCACCTTTATCTTTTCTGCTTTTCTTCTGAAGGTATAATAAAACTTTGTTTTCTGCAAACTTGACTAAAAGATTTATGTCAAATAATATCATAGAAGTTGCAGCTGATACTTCCAGTTATTAGATTTGTAGGAATGAATCCTTTATTTGTTACTGATATGAATTTAATTCTCATAGTTGATGAGGGCACCTTGATGTTTTTTGTGCCCTCTCGCAATTATTTATTTGTTTTGCAAGAGTTAGGAAAATTAAAAAGGGAAAGTCTAAATGCTCCTATCTGTTGGATAGCTGTAATTTTTTCATCATTTCCTCGGTAATGGATTGAGATAAACAGAACTGTTTGAATTTTGACTAGAGGTCTTTTAAACTTTGAATACATTGCTGAAAAGTTGTGATTGGCCATTGATACCTTTCTGATTGTAGCATGGTGAGTTAAAAAGTATATAAAATTGCAGAGTCTTAAGATCTTAAGTCACCCAGCCTTAAGGATACAACACTATGGGTATCAGATCAGTATATTCCATTGTAGGTCCATAACAGAACATGGACGAAAGAGAAACAGAACCCGAGTTAGATATGTGAGTATTTGTTCTGAGATATTCAAGACTTATTTGCTGCTGCAAATCTTTCAGCACATCCTTTCTTTCTCGGATATTGGCTGCTTAATGTCCACAAGTTTGGGAGTTCTAATTGGACAAATAATAACTATAAGACGAGATTGGTGTCATATTGGAAACAAACACTCCAAGATTGTCATATATTTTGGACTGTTTGTTGGGAAATTTCCTCCCTAACCCAGAACATTCATCATCCAGGTTCCAGGACCACATGACTATGATTTGAACTTTGGTAGTGTAGCTTTCAGATACAAGACTATTATGTTAGTGAAATAATGTGGTTTTATCTGAATGCATTAGATCTTAACATTTAACACATTCGTCATGAAATAGCATTATTTCACTTAGGCGGCACGGTTTGTATACATTAGAAGAGGGGGATGATATCATTTGCGTATACAAAGAAGATAAGGTAATTGTAATTTGTTTAAAAAGAAAACATGTACAGTTTCCCTTGTGGATCAAACAGCCTCCTCCCTAAACCATCCAAAGGAAAAACCAAAGCTCTCTGAACGGAATATGTGCTTACTTTAATCTCTAGTAGTAATTGTTAATATGTTTGCCCCACACTGACTGAACATTAATTCATAAGTTGTCCTAGTCTCATGTGATTCTCTATGTTTCTGTTCCCTTTTAAAATTCTAGATTGCAATGGTTCCTGGAAAAAGTATTTCATCTGAACGATTTACAGCATACCATTCTGTACGTAGACATGGTGCAAACCAGAAACAGATTGGACTGACTTGATGATTCCAGTTCATGCATTGGAGCTGATTAAGAACCACTTCTTGAACAGTAGCCACACCAGAAAAGAATTTGAATCTCCTTTTGAGAAGATTTGTTTTAATTTCCATCAGAAGCTTTGAACTGCCACTATAGTCTTCTAGTCAACCGCAGGTTCAGGTTCATATGTATTTTAACCCGTTAACCACAGTTTCTTGCGCTATTACCGCTGGTTCATTACTGGTGATTCGGTGTTATGTGCAAGGCTCTAAGCCTCACTAGTCTCTCTGACATGAACATGAATATATAATGTGTGCATTTGCATTTTTACTGTCTTTTCATATATGGAGAGGTCGTATGAAATCTTCTGTGTCTACTTTTGGGGACTGAATCGTTGTTGATTTTATTAGTGAAACAAAGTCACTTACTTTAAACTAATATATCCACAAACTAGTTTTAATTTCAAATCTTGCTCTCTTCTCCAAAGCTGTAGTATTTTTATTGGGTTTCTAATCCTTACTGTGATAACATTGTAACTCTAATTCGACAAAACCATTACATATTTGGAACATGAACTAGTAAAGCATTGATTTATGTACATGAACCATAAATTAAATACAAAACCAAAAAAAAAAAAAAGCAGCATCCTAGAACAACAAAATACCAAGAATACAAGCCTCTGAGTTAATTAACATTCATGTAACGGACAGTTACAGGGGAGGAAACATCATAAGTTCGGCTCATACTTAGCAAGGTAAATCCGGCCAAAAAAAAAAAAAAACAGTGCACAAACAAATTTCTAGTATCTTCTGTAAAACAAGGGGAACCAACGCTCTTGAAAAGAAGTATGGTGAGAGATCATGAAAATGAGGAAAATGAGCAGAATCAAAACTCCAAGAGGCGATCCTCCGATCCTATGAAGCGAGTCTCTCTCACCAGGTAAAGAAACCACGAATGGCACCTTTTCGGTATCTTCACTCGACAGCCAGTGCACCGCCAGCAACAACATGACAGGAAGAATCATCAGCAAGAGCTTCAAATGATACATCATTTCCTCGTACTTCGACTCATAGTTGATGTACCATGTGAATGATAAGAACAGGAAGAGTACTGTTAGGAAGAAGAAGAAGTGAATAGGGAAGGAAAGGTATTGGAGATAGTCATAGTATGAATTATTGTAGTAGTATCTTGCCATTGTTGATGAATGTGGAAACTACTACTGATTCTCAGCTTTGCCTTTTGTTGTGAGATGTTGGAATCCTACTCTACTTTATGTGGTTTGAAGTTGAGAAGAAATATGCTTCAAAATAGTGGCTATTTATATGGAAGCGATAGGAAATGTAGAAAACTCTCTGTCCATATTTATGCACTTTCCATCTCACATTAGTGAAACGGTATCATCTATTTATCTTTTCTAAAAATATTACTTCCTCCGTCCCACAAAAATAGTCCACATTGAGTTTTGTACCGTTTTTAGCACAAATTTGAAAATTCAATATGAACTATTTTTGTGGGACCGAGCTAATACTATTTACCAAACAAAAACATAAGAAGGTTTTTTTTTTTTTTTTTTTGAGAAGGAGAAATTACTATTTTAATTGAAAATGCAGATACCCTAGCTAGTATGAACAAAACCATGTGTGTTTTTTTTTTTTTTTTTTGGTTAAGCCATGGGGTTTTTTTTTGACTAAAGGCAACAAAGATTAAATGATACCTTAAATGTGGCGTAAACAGTTCAGTTGAAGAAAAATGAATTAAATTTTTCAGGACAAAATATGAAGTGTAGAAAAGATTATGGGACAAATGGTTAAATCATGTTTTTGAAAATTGCTGATCACTTTGAAATTGCTTCCACATAATCAACATCTAGTAATGATGCTACCCCGCAATCAATTAATATTGTTGTGTACACAAATTTCTGCAAACTCATGAAATTCTTCCATTTGGAAAACCATTATATATGAAGCTTATTTTCATCCATGCAAATAATTATGGTTCTCGACGAAATCACAACCGACTGTAGTTACACTTTTAAATTCATGAATGTCATTTTTTTTTCTAATTTTTTTTTAATCATGACACTAACTCTTAAAAAATTAAGACAATTCAAAAGATTAATCTCTGACCCGTGAACTTAGTTATTTTGTGCTCAGGACAAAAGAGTACTTAATTGCAGAAATTTTTTCTTGAGTTATAGAGATTCGAATGTCTTTTGGATGATATGGGTGGGGATAATCCATCCATCCGCAGGATGCTTCCCGAGACAATGTTGAGTTAAAAGTTAAAACCTCTCATGGCTTTCTTTAGATTCTTGTCTTGCACAGTTTCTGATCAATGGGATCATGCCACGTAAGGCCGACCACAGAGTTGGGCGTTGGAGATTGAGAACAAGCCAATGTGGACAAAAGGTTTTTACCATTTTCTTTTTAGGGTATAGTGAAATGGATAGTGGAATCTTTTGTGGTGTGTGACTGTGTTTGTCCAGTAGAAAAATTGTTTGTCTGCAAATTTTACTACTACTATTATCTTGTAGTACTAGTATTGTTTTGGTCCCCCGTATGTTGCTTCCGTATATACTTGTGTTTACACGGTTGGACACTCCATATTTTCATTCTCATCCTATTTATAAACACACGTTAAAGATAAATTTAGTTTGAATACTTGTGTTATAAATGAAGTTGGGAAAAAGTTTTAATCCACTGTTACTGAATGGTTACATGCATTTGGATGTCATTAAAAGGCTTAAGATTATCAATAGAGGTTTTTGGGTAATGAGAAATGTGTCTTGTTTTCTTAGAAGACAAAAATATCAACGACTAGGAGGATGAATCATGAATGCCTCACCTATTGCCAATTATTTATTTTTGGGTACGATGAAGGAGGAGGCTATTGACAAATTTCGATGCAATATTAAGACGATTTTTCCATAAAAATTTCTTCAATTTATAATTTTTATTTCAGGTAGTACTCCATCCGCATCCCAAAAAAAAATAAAAAATTAGTTAGTTTATTTTCTTAGGGAATTGATATATACAGACAAACTCAAATATTACTCCCTCCGTCTCAAAAAAAAAGTACACATTGAGTTTTGAGTTTTGCACTGTTTTTAGTATAAATATGAAAATTCAATATGGACTACTTTTTGGACGAAGGTAGTACCATTCATTAGTAGGATTTGTTGATAGTCATATGCCAAAATGGAATAAAAAATACAGAAGTTTGGGAATCTACTTCTTTCTCCCAAAAAAATGGAAAAAGAAACGTAACTTTTATACAAAATTATTTCTCCGGGATTCGATTAAAATGATTTATTTATGCATGGATTATCCCTACAAAATGATACTTTTAGAAGTGATTAAGAGGATTCATTTATCAGCCCAATAATGTAATTCGGCCCGATGGCGAAAACGGACCAAGCCACAAATCTAGAAACTTTCAAGATCCATAATGTAATTGGGAGATCAATTGCCCCTTTTATTTGGGAGTATTTACTGTCCGATTTCGGCTTCCTATATAAGGAAATCCTACTGTCTATATGATTTGTTCTATATCTACTCTAACAACTCTCCATAGAAGCTTATATATGTATAGGATTCCTTGGAAGACCGATCCTCATCGATCATACCGTGAAATTATTAAATCTCCGGAGAAGAATTAGAGTTCCGGATGGGAAGCACCGACCTCTATTCCGACGAGGTGGAAGCCCACCAACCAGTAACGAAGAAGGCACGGAATGAATCTTCTTCTTTGTCATATAAGGAGAAGCTACCTTCAACACCTTTAATTTCAACAATTGGAGCCACAATTTACCCTCCAAACTTATCTACCCACTGTTACTGAACCAAAGGAGGATGATGATGATGATGAACAAGTAGAAGAAGCTGAAGAGGATGACGACGATGAGGATGAAGAAGATGAAGACGACGATGACGATGACGATGACGACGATGAGGAGGAGTAGGAGGAGGAAGAGGATGATTCGGAGATTGCATCGGACCCTTTGGTTGTGAATAAGAAGAAGAAGAAGAAGAAAGTAAAGCTGTTGGAGCGGTACAGGGCACAGATACACGAAAGTCGGGGTTACGAGGTGAAACTTCATTCATCCGGAACGAGCCCATTTAACAATCATGCCCTGGGATTTCCGACAAACCAATCTCTACACCTGCTTTCGGGACTTTGTGGACATGTCTTACCTATGCCTTTCCGAATTCAACCAACCTCACCACGGGGAGCCCGATTTCGAGGTCGACGAGATTCTCAACGTCACTTGTCCCCCCGATTTTCGGTTAATTTCCACACATATTACCTCACTTTTAATGCCAAAGCTGCTCCAGGCCAATCGGATGTACTAGTTGATTCCCCCGTCGTCTTCGAAACCTTTCGAGCTCAGTGTTTAGTTTGTTATCGAGGAGACATGGATCCTTCTTTGCGAGCGCAAAAGTGTAGTTGAAGCCCGATGAATGGAAAGACGCCCAAGCAGCAGGCGAGTATTGCAGGCTTCCTTGTTGCTACTCCAAAGTTCCTAAGCATTATTTCTGCGAGGAGGAACCCCTTGTAAGATTTGTGAGGTTCCAGAATATTAAAGCTTGCAGGGACAGGGTTGGTTGGTCTTTTTGGTTTTTAATTAAATGTTGCTCAAAAATTTATTCGAAATCATTATGTTAGCGCAGTAGTTGTAGTAGTGATGCGTGCCTTTTCTACTTGAATTTAACTGCTACTTTTTCTTTGTTCTCATGCGAAAATTGAAATGGAATAAAATAAAAGAGATATATTTTAACTAAAGTTTCTACTGTCAGTTCATAAACAGAAGCGGAACAAAAACAGTGAGACACTTTCTTTAGTCAATACTAAATTGATCTGTATCCGTACATGTTCTCCATGAAGAATTTCTGCTACCATCAATCAACGGAAAATCGCGCTAATTTGAAAATTGAAGGCTTCCAATGCTAATTCCATCGGTCTTGTGCAATCGCATTAATTGCTCACTCTCTGTGCTTTTCCGCTGATTATCAAATTTTAAAATAAGAAAAACTGACAAGAAATCCAACACTGCATAAATTGACATTGAAAGAAAACGATAGAGAGATTGTCTAAAGTCCTTCTATTTCATAAAAATAATCACATTGAATTTTTAAATTTGTACTAAAAATAGTACAAATATCAAAACTCAATGTGCACTATATTTTTTAGGAGATGGGGAGTATAAGGGAAGAAAAACACACACACACACACACACACACACTATTAATGTGTATATTATGGATTTCAGGTACATTAATGACCAATCAATGAACCTGCTAATCCCATCACTTAAAAGAAAAATAAGATTCACATGAGTTTTCTCTGAAACAATTGGTCAATTTTTGGGTCCTATTTATCCAACTTCCCAGTATTATTACTAAGGTAAAATGGATATGTCCATAAGAACAAGAACTAGAGCTGGCAATGATGTTGGGCAGGGAAGAATCAGAGCTTGTTGTTTGTTGCGTTCCTCAGGTTGCCCCCAAGCAATGACGACATAAGTCCATCGCCTTGGACTCTTTCCTTCTGCAAGTACTAAATTCAATCCCTTATCTTGTTTTCCAACCAATTAGGAAACTTTACAAGTCGGTGAAGATGGACCTAGACTGCCAGGAGAATTATATGTACATTAACAATTGCGAGATTCTAACTTTCGGAGAAGGTCTGACGATAGCTGTGGAGAAGCATTGATGTATCCTTTTTCTCCATCATTTGTCAGAATGTTATATATAAAGAACACGTTGCAATTGTTGTTGCAATTGAAAAACCATCGTGACAATGGTTGGAACACAATTTCATTCATCAATTATATATATCCATGTCGCATTATATTTCTTGTACTTAGACTCCGATCTCTTTCAGTGCACTAAAAAAACCGTGACAAATTTCATTTTACAATTAGTTGTATCAAGAATTGTATAACTAGCAAGCAACAATAATAAAAGTATTATATATTTCCCCTTTATTAATTTATTGCTAACTAATTTTCCGTAAGAATAACTTCTTCCGAAACTACTTTTTTTTAAAAAAATATATACTCCAACAATTAATACACTATACAAGAGGAAATAGTACAAATAATAACGAAATAAAAATTAGACTCTTAAATTTTCTAATAATAAGTACGAACAGTTAATCGTTATATATGGTAAAACATTGTTTCCTTGATATATACCCATGGAAACCCTAACATATACCACAATAAAAACAAGATTTATACAAACCCAAGAATGAAAGTGCTTTCTCGCTTTAATCAACTCTTTCTATTTCGTCCAGTCGCAAATCTTTATTGTAAAAAACGGCCGGATCTCTGATTGTTCGAAGTATATATAAAAAGTATCGATGGAGAGCTGTAGTACAAAGCCGGAGCTCCCGCCGGAACTACGGATGGAAATCCTATCCTACATCCCTACCAAGCCACTGATGCGATTCAAGTCCGTATCCCGACTATGGCAATCAGTGATTCTTGATCCTGGCTTGGCCAGATTGCATGGCCTCCGGCGCGGCTGTTTTAAAAGGCTTCTTATCTCTAATGCATTCAGACGACTTCTGAAAGAGAACTTGAAGTTTTGTTATATGAGTCTCGATGATCACCACAAACAAGTTTCCCTTCACCACATCATTAGTACCGGTAACCACACTAAAATTCTTTGCACCAATCTGGTGAACGGCTTTGTATGTTTTTATCAACTCTCCGGCCGCTGTTCCTGCTTGCACAATATCGCCACTCAGGAAACGCTTCCACTTCCGAAGACTAAATCTCCGGCTTTTAGCCACCACCTTGGTTTCGATCCGATTAGGAAGCTTTACAAATTGATGAAGGTGTTCTTTGACTTTCATGGCAAGTACATTAACGATTGCGAAATTCTAACTTTTGGAGAAGAACAAGGGTCTGTCGACCTATCACCACCCCCTTGTTGTGGAGAAGCATTGAGTCTCCTTCTCCACCATTGGGAGTAAGATTATTCTCAAGGAGCGTGTGTTACGATGGGGTTCTATACGGGGACGGCCGAGAGACCATGACCATATCTATGGTTTCGATCTCTCTAAAGAGATGTTTTTCGATTTTCCAAAGCCAGAGAGAAATGTGTTATTAATGTACTTTGGAACCGGTTTGTCTCTATCAACTCTTAGATACCGATCCTACTTCTAATATTTATCTATTAATAAACAAGCAGAATGTAAAATTATCTCTTATCACGGCAACGGGGGCAGTGTTGACCTAGCTCCTCCCAAGGTGTCGAGTGAGCTGAAGTTTGAGTTTCAACTGGTCATGGATGCAAATCTACACGGTATCCTTGGCATATTTCCCGACGGAAAGGTCTTGATAATTACGTATGATACAGTGAGTTCTCCGAAGGAAGTCAATATATATATGTATATGATCCATCCAAGAGGAAAACATAAAATTTCTCACTTGAATATTTATCGTCGTCAATCATGGAGTCATTCCGTAGGAGTAGCACATTGTATTTTGAAGAGAACATCGTCTCATCGAGGTGTTTGATTCCGAAGACGTATTGAATTGCAGTGTGATGGGACAATAAGTAATCCTCTCTCTCTCTGAATTCTGACCCTGGCATCGGAGTACTAACTCTATTTTACAGGGTATTTTAGGAATTATAGGCGTTGTCCCGTGGTCCCATCCTCTCACTCCAATATAGTGTTTATGTGTGTGCAGAGTTATTTAAAATTTTTTTTTCCTTATGAAAGGAATGAATATTTCCCGGTAACTAGTGAGAATTTCTTTTTAATCTTTTAATAAAAAGCTCATTTTCGTGAGATACTTGGTAAGAAAAGGTTAGAGGTACTTAGATTCATTGGCATATTAATTAAAACACCTTTAATGCCATGAACTTCCAAGGAATTCTTGAAAATTCGTGAACCGGTAAACAAGCTAGTTTTCTGTAAAAGATAGTAGTGTTCTCCTTACCGAAATGATGCGTTGAAACGGAATACAAAATTAATAAAGAAATTTGGGATATCTACTTCTTTTCAGGTCGTACGTGGAATGGAGAAAATAAATTTTCATCAAAAAACATTTGTCGGGATTTGAAGATGACTTTTAATTACAATGGCCCAGATAATACTAAATAAGATCCCAGAAAAAAATAACAACGAAAAAATTGCTATGTCTTACTATAACACATTTTGTCTTCCTTTAATACTTCATCCAAATGTTTAGATATTTATTTTTATTTTAATTCCAGTGGTATAGAAAGTCAAAAACTATTGGATTTTTTAAAAATATTCAAATTGTACGAAACTCTAAATGGAGGAGATGATAAAAAAAAGAAAAAAAAGGAGTTTTTAACTTTTTACTAAACTTTGTACAATTAGAATGGTTAACCTGACTGAGATGGATACGAAATCAACGGGGAAGTCAAAACCCTAAACCGAAGTGCGATGTTTTCGGCGTAATTTATGTTGTATAGCACTTTTTATTTTGTCCCAGTCGCAAAACTTTTATCATCATTAAAAAAAAAAAAGCCTGAGCTTTGTTGATTATTATTCGAAATAGAAAAAGAACCATCGGAGAGATGGAGTACTGTAGTACAACTCCACCGGAGCTCCCGCCGGAACTGTGGCTGGAAATCCTATCATACATTCCCACCAAGCCACTGATGCGATTCAAGTCCGTGTCCCGACTTTGGCTATCAATTATTTTTGATCCGGCCTTGGCCAGATTGCATTGCCGCCGGCCTGGCTCTTTTAAAGGGCTTCTTATCTCGAACGCGTTTGGATTTGGGAGAGGGAACTTGGAATTTTGTTATGTGAATCTGGATGATCAAGTCAAACAAATTTCCCGTCACCACGAAGTCGGCCAAAGCCTTCAGCTCAAATGCACCTATCCGGTCAACGGTTTGGTGTGTTTCTATGAACCCGGCAGCCGTGGTAATTCCTACTTGCACAATGTTGCCACTCAGGAAACCCTCCAACTTCCGACGACTAAATCTCCGGCTTTTATCCTCCGTCTCGGTTTTGACCCGGTTACCAAGCTTTACAAGCTGTTGAAGATGTCCATAGACCACCATGGCGAGTACATTAAGGATTGCGAGATTCTAACTTTTGGAGAAGGCCAAGGGTCTGTACTCCCGTCGCCCGAGTGGAGAAGCATTGATTCTCCGTCTCCACCAACGGAGGTGGAGTTTTTCAACACGAGCGTGTGTTACGATGGGGTTATATACGGGGAGAGGTGGGGAGGAAGTGATGCAATCTGTGGTTTCCATCTCTCGAAAGAGATGTTTTTCAGTTTTCCAAAGCCAGAAAGTTGCGAGGAATATGAGAGGTCTAGGTTATTGCACTTTGGACCCGGTTTGACTCTATCAACTTACAGCTATACAGTTGTTAAAGCGCAATGTAAGGTAATCTCTTGTCACGGGGACCTATCTCCCGAGGTGTCGAGTGAGCTGAAGTTTGAGTTCCAACTGATGATCGGGGATAAATATCTAACTGTCGTTGGTATACTTCCTGATGGAAAGATTGTGTCGTGCGGGGATCTCGACGACAATTCAGAGCAGATGATGATTTTATATGTATATGATCCATCCCGGAAGAAAACTGAAAATTTCCAACTTGATTCCGCGTCATTACCCAGGCCGTCCTCGTCGTCATCAATCTTCGATTCATTGCGGTTGTATTTTCAAGAGAACATTGTCTCGTTGAGGTGTTTGATTCCACATTAATAATATATAATATTCCAACGTCCTACTTACTAGTCGTGATATTTACTCCTCGTGTCTCAAAATTATTATCCAACTTAGATTTTTATTTTTAGTTCAATTCATATAAGAATGAAAATAATAATTTCGAGTTTGAATGAGTACTTGAAATAATAATTTTTATCTATAGTAGATCATACTGTTTATGTGGATTTGTAATTCTCAGATCAGAGTATGAGAATGCTAAGAACTTGGCGTAAACAGTAGTTTGTGTCGCGAAATCAATGGTGCCTGGGAAAATTGCTATCCTTCTCATGTCCTGATATTGATCGTACTAAATGATCAATGTGTCTCTTTTTTTTTTTTTCTCTACTTTTCTTCCCGCCACCTCTTTTATATAGTTTCCCGACTGCAAAAGGAAAAATTGGTCTCCAAATTTTTTGAGAAAAAGGAGGTCTATTAACCCATTCGTATTCAACTAATAAAAAACCTTTTCAACTTTTGTGAGGTTCGAAGGATCAAATAACCTACAAAGTTTTGAATCATATCATACACACACAGCTCTAATGCGAAGGAACAAACCTACATATATTTCCCACATCTAGAAACAGCGCGCCCCAAGAAACTGCACATATAAATGGAGCTTGTCTTCTAGCACCAAACAGAACCTGCACGGATGCTAAAAAACTAACATGGATATGCTCTTAACGAAACACTAACTCACAAGCTTAAGCCTACCCCTACATACTTAACCCAAGAATCTAGATAACTTACCATACCCTTGGCAATAATTGACAATCAATTCCACCAAATAACTCCTTACCATTTCGAACTAAACCCTTCTTCTGCTCCAGAATTTCCATTGAAGCTCATCAAGATCATAACATATATCAGAAAAGATGGAAATCCAACTAGTACATCTCATTTTCTCTGGAAAGCAAAATTTCTGATAGAATCTAAAGTCCTCGTGCACTACCACGAAAACTTACGCCTCACATAAGGAACAGAACTGATTGACTGGGTTTCAGATCTACATTCCATGAAACAAACCAAGGACCAACAGTTTCATCCTAATAAACAAATAATATCTGTAGGCTCCCAAAAGCAATTCAACAAAACCCAAGAATTCCACAAGGTAACTTTACATGCACATGTACTTGGCAAAGGTGCACTTTTCCCTCCTCCTTTTTTGGGCTGGGGACCGGCTGTGCACAAGACTGCAAGGGCGGAGTTAAAAAGTGCTTTCGTTACCACAACAAACAGAACATCAGCAGCATAAACTCAACAGAAGATACAGAGAAATAGACAGGCGATCACGAAAACTCTATATACGAACAGCTGAATCAGACTAAACAACCACCTTTTGACTTGTCTTAGAGCAAGCAGAAAGAGGCAAGGGAGCAAGAGCCGAAGAGCAAGGTAATGTCAGGTGGCAAGAGAAGGTGGAAAACAGCTTCTATCCACATGAACAGATCAGACATTGTAGCAGAACAATACAACCGTAATGTGGACAGTTCAAGAGACCTCCAACTCAGAAGAAACCTACAAGCATCCACAGGCAGAATCACAAATGACGCATTGGTACTAAAAAAGCTAGCGGCATAGTCCGCAAAAACATTTAATCCACTGATGGCCACACGTTTTCTTGCATCCGTAGTCCCATCACATTTCACAAAGACCCAGTAACGGAACAACACTGTTAAGGCTTGCAATTTATTTCTTACTGCACAGCTAAATAGCTCCAAAATTACAGCACACTCATAGCAAAGCAGAATTCAAGGTGCCGCAGCTACAAAATAGCCTCCCACCAATAGCAGACTCTTCTCATCACAATGCATCCACAGAAAATCATGAAATACATGCTCCCAACACATAACAGAAGAAGCAAGTCTCAGACTACACACACACATGTAGTGTTCATAATCATTCCCACCAGAAGATCAGGCAAAACAAGAACTTCCAAAACTTCTCAAACAGGTCGAAACTCGAAATCCTGGTAAACCGCATACACATAGCTTCACAAAGGATTTCCAAATGCCTGTAACATAGCAGGACGAAAGACATCAAGATGATGCTAAGAATGCCAACGAAAATTCATCAAATACCAATTAAAACCTGGACCAGAGCCTCTCATCTAACCCAAACTTATACCATAAAAAATAATGCCAGTTGCAAATGGTAACACACATCACCCAATATTATATTCTTATCCTCAAACAAACACATCTTTTGGGGGGGGGGGAAAGACAGGTAGATAAAGGAGAAATTGATCTGAAGCACAAATATCAACACAAAAACACCTAGCAGATCACAAGAGAACTTTATCAACTAGGAAAAAAGAAGAATGAGAAAACACCAGCAGCACAATCTACAGTAATAGAAAACTCAAAAGACACCAAAATGAACAAACATAACCAAGTTGCAGAAAGTATCAGATAGGGGTTAGCAAGTCAAAAGCAAAGATACCTAAGGGCAAAATCCTAAGAAAAAAGGAAAAGCCAGTTTAGTTCCTCCCTTCTTACAACCTTTGAACTCTTCCCATCCCCACAAGCTCAGAGAACTTAAATATATAGACAATGCAACAATAAGGACTGGCACCAGCAAAGGTGGAAATATCAAAGAAAAGTATGCTTTGCAGCAACGAAAGCAGACACTAGACAGCAAAAACAACAGGACAACAAAAAGGGGAACATTTACGATCTTCCTAACCTTCTAAAATAAAACAAAACAACAAAAACCATGGCACTTTAGCAAACAACTGAAGAGAGCAAACAGTAGTTGCCCAATCAACGAAGAAGAACAAACAATGCTGAGTAAGGGAAAGAAATCTCAAAATTATAATAAAAAACGCAAGCTAGATGTCACTCATACCGAATTATATAGAGGACATTGCCGACAACAATTACCGCCAACGAACAAAACCCATCAACTTTCAGAGACACACAAGGAACAGAAGAGGAACCATCAGGAATGCACCATCAACTTATGTAGGCTAGCCTAAAACAACGAAGATCCTTCAGCTAAATAACTCCAAATATCTGGTAGAGTCTACATAAAGGAAAAGAGAAACCACCAAGAAAGAAAGCCGGAAAATTTGCTAAGCAAATGAAGAAGATCGAAGGGGTTAAGAAAGAGAGGACCGGAGTGAAAACCCAAGAACCCTATCAATACGAATCATACCCACCAAACAGTCGCACCAAAGACTTAGCAAGAACCAAGTATACAAATCAGGTCAAAGTATAGGTCCTAACCTAACTAGTAATTAGTAATCATGTTTGTACTCAAAAAGGGTCTACTTATTGAAGAAATCAACCAAGTGGGTGGAACAGAAGTCTATGCAATGGCCGGAAATACAAAATGGAATCACAAAACCAGGGTCAACACCCAAGGCTGAAGCAAAATTCTGAAACGAAGGTGTGGTCAAAGAAACAGAAGGCCACACAAGAAAGCGCACAAATGCTATCAAAGAGAAGAACGATATGCAAACATATCGAGGACAAGATAGACAAAGTCCTTGGTATATTATGCAAGAAAAAACTCCTCACAGAACAAAAAGGCACCCTAGAAAAACAGAACATAGCAGCAACTGTAAGAATTCATCATGAAACACTCCTCCCCTAGTTGTGTGGATATCCCTAACTCCACTGCACAATCCAAGGCCACATCCAAGCTCTCCTACAATATAAAGTTAAAGCCAGAACAAAAGATGCCAACGGATAAGTATTAAACAGAACAGGAGAAGAAAACCCACCCAAACCTGCCTGTCTTCCAGCACCAAAGGATCCATACAGGCACAGCCAGCAAGTTCCATACAAAGGTAGACCTAGGGCAATAGGATGTGGAGAACAAGATTGAGCCAAGGAGCAACACAATAATCTTAAATTGTGTCTAAAGGATAGTCATCTCAAAAATAGGGAAGAACAAATTTAATGAGGTAGGTCAAGTGGGAGGGAACTTTTCCAGATGAATGTAATGGTCGCAGCCGTAGACATCCAACAACTGACTTGTAGACCCAGAGCTAACCACCTATCAAACACAGGACAGACACCAATGACTACCGTAGGAGAAGAGACCGAAACACAAACAGAAAGAACGAACAGATGGACAATGAATCCCCCCCTCAGTCCACACTCGTCATTCCAAAAAATTCAGCATCGGGTCCCCCTAAAAATCAAAATATATAGCAAACATACTCCATCCATCAACATTCGTCTTCCCCCAAAGAAGCCAAATAAACAAGGTGAAGGGAAGTAAAGAAAAGAGAACGCAGCCTCAGAATGGAGTTTCCACCACGCTTTCCTTACTTATAGAGCAAAGGCACACACAGTTTCTAAAATCACACTAAGAGAAGAACCAGCACGGGAGATGATGAGACAAACCAAACAGGAAAGAAAACCCCCTATTGTCTGTCAAATCCCAGGCAACCCACAGAAATACAGGAACGAAAAATTCACATAAGAAAACTCACACAACACCACTGGACACAAGATTAGATTATAAACTGCCCCAAATTATATGACATATGAAAGAACCACCCCAATTGAATAACAAGGCTAAGGGAAAAAATCTTCTCTAGAATCCAGACGGATGTATTACTGGCCTCCAATTGCAAAACATCCAAACCTCGATCGGCTCCAGAAATACAACGGAAAGTATCCATCTTGGAAAGAGTAAAAACCTTTCTCAACCTTAACCCAAGGTACCCTAACAGCAAGACAATGGGACTCACATTACCATTCGTCAAGATTTTAAATACTCCAATTAAACGCCAATTAAACGCCAATTATTGGTACATGTATAGGTACATCTGATTGGTAAGGACTTTTTTTTTTGCATTTTTTTTTTTCTGAATTGTCACTAACAACAAATTTGTATATTTGGATGAAAAAATAGAGGGCTCTATGTATTAATGTAGAATGAATTAATTTACGTAAAATGGAATCAAGATTAGACATTTGGATGATTATGACAAAATACAATGTCATTCCTATTCCCATTTAGTGTAGTTTCATTTTCATATAGAG